TTGTATCTCTTTGTAAAGATTGCTGTGCTTCTTTTAGATGTTCTAATTGTTTATTAGATTCAAAAAAATCTATTAATGCTTTTGCCTTTTTAATCAAAGAACTAGCAGCTATAATACCCTGTTTAATACTTAATTGAAGTGTATGTACAATACATAGAATATTAATTATATGAGAAAGATGATGATGAAAAACAGCTTTGATATTAGATCTGTTATCTGTTGATACTATAATAACTTTATTTTGAATTGACCATTTTTCTATTGCAGCTTCAAGTAATTGTGCAATTCTTTCTGCGTATATTCATATTTAAATTCTTCAACTTCAAGTAATGCTTTACATAGTTCAAAGTTATTATTAATTCAGTGACAAGTAATACCAAGATATGAATGATATGTACGAGATGACCAGATATCAGCTATAAGAGAAATTGAATTAGCACTTGTATCTAAAATTTGCTTAAGTAAAGAAGTACTATATTCATATGATTGAGATATATATTTTGAAAAAGTTTTGACACATAGAATTTTGAAACGAGAATCAATATAGTTAACAAATTCTTTAAACCATCTACGTTCTATAAGAATAAAAGGAAGTTCTTCTCCTACAATTAATTTTAAAAGCTTCTGAATTATTTTTTCTTGTTTTTTTGAATTATGTGGTTTTACTAAAAGAGCATCAATCTTTTGTTGAATAATTTTTTTATGAATATTAGAACTCTGTTGAATATATTTTTGATATTTGCTTTTCTTAGTTATATTATGCTTTATTTGAAGATGATCTAATAAATTTGTTGTTGTACTGTGAAAAGTATATGATACTTTACATCCAAAAAGATGACAAAAAGCTTTAGTAACTTTAACACCTTTTTTGATTTTGAGTTTTCTGTTTTTCAAAATATGTCCAAACAGAAAATTCATGATTATTGCATTTTGCTGATAAATTATTTGTTGAAATTTCATCAGTAGATAAAGTTTCTTCTATATTTGAACCTTCACTTACAAACAAATTATTTTCTACAAGTGGAATTTCATCAGCACATGAAACCTCATTATTGCTAGAATAGGTAGTGACTTGTTCAGGTTCAGAATCTTCAAATAACTCATCAGAATGTTCTTGGACAAAATAATCTTCAATATGAGTAAAATTCATTATTAAAAGATTACAAAAAAAAATCAAAATCTAATCAATATTGAATAGTTTGCAAAGTTCTTAAATAACAAAATTTATTTAATTAACTTTATAAAAATATTTTTTATAAATAAAATATAAATATAATTCGTAAGTTTTATATTTCATTTGATTAAATTTGTAGAAGTACAATTTAATAACAATTTTTTTTACTTCGCACTATATTGTCATAATTTGATTAATTTTTTTAAATTATAATAAAACTACTGCTATCTCTTTTAAGTCAAGTAGATATAAACTAATGAATCAAAATCTTTTTTATATTTTTTAATTATTTTGTTTATTGTCTTATCGACTTACATATTTATTAACAATGTTTTATCACTATACTTTAATTATTCCTTTTTAGCACTTATTTCCTGATTGCTTAGAAAGACATTCACGGGCTTTATTTTATTGATATTTCTATTAATCTTTATAAGTTAGTTTAAGTACATTAATAAGTGATAAATTGCTTATACGTAATATGTTTCACTTATCAACTAAATTATTATTAATAGATAATTCAAGTAATAAATATTGGGACGGGTTTATAAATAACA